CTTTCTTTCTTTCTTTTTTTTGGTTTTTTTTTTTTTTTTTTTTTTTTTTTACTGAAACAAAGTCTCACTCTGTCACCCAGGCTGGAGTGCAGTGGCGATTCTCCTGTCTTAGTCTCCTGAGTAGCTGGCATTACGGGCATGTGTTTTTGGTAGAGATGGGGTTTTACTATGTTGGTCAGGCTGGGCTTGAGCTCCTGACCTCAAGTGATCTGCCCGCCTCAGCCTCCCAAGTGCTGAGATTACAGGCATGAGCCACTGTACCCAGCTCATCAATCATTTTGCTTATGGCCATTACGTGGGTGTGAATCCATTGTTCACAATTGTTTCACTTTGTATTTCCCTAATAACTTTATGATGTTGAGCATATTTTCAAGTTTTTATAACCCATTTGTGTATGTACCTTGGAGAAATGTATTTTCAAATCTTCCCACTTTCAAAATTGAGTTGTTTTTCTTCTTATTATGAAGTCTCAAGAATTCTTTGTATATTCTGAACTAAGTTCTTTTCCATAAATATAAATTTCACATATTTCCTTCTAGTCCATCTTATGTTGTCATTTTAAAAAATAATGTATTTGAAGAGCAAAATTTGTAATTTTAGTGAAGTCAAATTTATCATTTTTTCCTTTTGGGATTGTACCTTTGGTACCAGACCTTAAGAAATTTGTATCTAACCCAAAGTAATGAAGATTTTCAATCTGTACTTCCTTCTAAAAGTCTGTTTTTTGAGTTAATTTTTATATATGGTGTGAAGTATGAATTGAAGTTCTTTTTTTCAGTATGTATATCCATTTTTATTGCACTACTTGTTAAAAAGAATTTCCTTTCTCTATTTAATTATCTTGGCATCTTTCTCAAAAATCAGTTGACCATAAATGAAAGGGTTCATTTCTGAATTCTCAATTCTGTCCCAGTGAACTACATGTCTGTCCTTATTCCTATACTACACTGTCTTGATTACTGTAACTTTAAGGTAAGTTTTGAAATCAAGTAATATAAGTCCTCCAACTTTGTTCTTCTTTTATCAAAATTGTTTTGTCTATTTTGGGGTCCTTTGCATTTTCATGTAAATTTTTGGATCAATTTGTCAGTTTCTAAAGAAAAGCTTTATTAGATTTTCATAGAGATTATATATTTAGTCCATGGATTAACTTGTAGAGAATTGTTATTTTAACAACGTTGAATCTTGGAATCCATGAACTTGAAATGTCTCTCCATTTATTTACATATTCTTTAATTTCTTTAGTGTTCAAGTCTTGTAAAAATGATTTCTAAGTATTTTATTTCTGTTGATACGTGAATGGAGCCATGTCTTAATTTCACATTTGGATTGTTTGTTGCTAGTATATACAAATGTTATTGATTTTTATATTGATCTTATATCGTCCTATGATGTTGCTAAACTCAATTTTTGGTTCTAGTAGTTTCTTTATAGATTTCTTATAATTTTCTACATATAGAATAATTTCATCTGCAAATAAAGACAGTTTTATTTCTTCTTTATCCTTTAATATCTATTTTCTTGCCTCATTGCACTGGCTAAATTTCCCAGTACAAAGATGCATGGAAGTGGTGAATGCCTTTGTGCCCTGTCTTAAGGGGAAAGCATTCCATCTTTCATCATTAAATATGACATAAGTATAGAGTTTTGCCTGCCCCACATGTCCTTTATCAGTTTGAGGAAGTTCCTTTCTCGTCCTGGTTATTGAGAGGTTTTCTCATGGCTGTTGGATTTTGTAGAGTGCTTCTTCTGCATATATTGAGATGATTATTTGGTTTTATACTTTATTAATATAATGTAGTTCATTAATTGATTTTCAATGTTGAACCAACCTTACCTTTCATGGAATAAATCCCACATGATCATTGTGTATGATCCACTGTATATGCTGCTAGATTAAGTTTGCTAGCATTTTGACAAAGGTTTTTGCATCAATGTTTGCAATGTATATTGGTCTGTGGTTTTCTTTTGATCTTTGCCTAACTTTGATATTAGGCCTCTTAGAATGAGTTGGGAAGTGTTCCCGCCACTTCTGAATTCTGAAAGAGTTTGTGTAGAGTTGGTATTATCTTTGAAGGTTTCATATAATTAACCAGTCAAGCCATCTCAACTTGAGCTTTTCTTTGTGGAAAAAAATTTAGTTACTAATTCAGTATTTGTGTTACAGGTTTATTTACATTTTCTATTTCTTCTTTAGTTAGTGTTGGTAATTTGTGCCTAACAGTTTTTCCATTTCACCTGTTGTTTTATATGATTGGGATAAAGTTGTTTGTAGTATTCCTTTATAATCCTTTTAATTTATCTAGCATCAGTGGTGATTTCATAGTTTCATTACTGATTTATATAAGTAATAACTTCTCTGTTTCCTTTTTATTTATTTTGTTTTGATATTTGGTCAGTCTAGTGAAAGTTTTGTCAATAAGACTTTTGGTTTCATTCATTTTTATCTACTGTTTTTCTATATATTTTGCTGAATATATTGTATATAATATGATACTACTATAATATATAGTAATCTCTCTATATATGAAGCTTAAGTTACTGATTTGGAACTTTTATTCTTTTTTACTCTAAATGGTTAAAGCTATGAATTTTTTTCTGAACCCTGCTTTATCTATATCCAATAAATGATGATATGCTGTAGTTTATTTTCATTTACCTCAAAATATTTTCTAATTTCTCTTGGAATGTCTTTGTGATTTAATATCTAAATATTTGGAGATTTCTAAAATTTCTCTCTGTTTTTATTTCTAACTTAATTCTGTTGTGATTATAGAATATATTTTGAAAGATTTAGCAAACCCTTCAAATTAATTGAGACACTATATTTTCTAGCATTTGCTTAATGTGTAGAATATCCATGTGTGCTTGAGAAGAATGTGTATTCTGCAGATGTTAAATGCTGTATTTTATAAATGTCTAGATTTTTTTGATGGTGTTATTTAAGTTGGTTGTCTCTTTTCCAATTTCCTGTCTAGTTTTTCCATCAGTTATTGAGAGAGAAGTATGGAAATCCCCAACTATTAGTATTAAATTTTTTTCTCCATCAATTCTGTCCATTTTTATTTTAGTACTGTGGGGGCTCTTCTGTTCAATGCATATGCATTTCTAATTGCCACATTTTTCAGATGTATTGACCTTTTATCATTATGACTGTCCTTTTTGTCTCACAATTTTTCTTGACTTAAAGTCTATTTTGTCTAATATTGATATAGGCATTCCAACTGTCTCGTGGTTACTGTTTGCATGATGAATCTTGTTTTTCTCCTTTTACTTTAGCCTATTTATATCTATGAATCTAAAATGTGTCTCTTATAGATGTTATATAGTTTGACCTTGATTTTTGTCCAATCTGATTTCTACCTTTTGATTTGCGTTTCTTCCATTCATAGTTAATGTAATTATTGATATGGTTGGATTTGTATCTTCCATTTTACTGTTTTCTGTCTCATAGTTTTTGTTGTTCCTCTTTTCCCTTTCTACCACCTTCTTTTCTATTATATATATGTAGTGTGACATTTTATTATTCTGTTTTGATTTTTAAAAATAAAATTTGAAAACATTTTCTTAATATCTGCTGTAGGGATTATAATACACATTTTATCTTGTCATAGTCTACTTCAGGATAGTACTGACTTAATTCTAGTGGAATAGAACTGCTTTGATCCAATATAGCTTCATTTGTTTTCCAAATTTGTGTTTTTACACATATATTTAGATATTTTATAAACACAGCAATGTAATGTTGTAATTATTGCCTCATACAACTTTAAGTCTCTTAAAGAAATTAAGAGATAACAGAAAAATTTTGTATTTATATAGCCTTTTATTTACATATTTACCATTTTTGGTGCTCTTCATTTGTTTCTGTCAATTTGAGCTACTGTCTAGTGTTATTTTTCTCTCAGCTTTAAGGACTTCATTAGGTATTTCTGCTTACAACAAATATCCTCAGTTTTTTGTCTGGGAATGTTTCATTTTACCTTTATTTTTGGAGATAATTTTCCTGGATAGAGAAATGTTGGTAGACGGGTTTGCTTTCTTGTTTCTTTTAGCACTTCATTTGTCTGCCTTCTGGCCCTTCTTATTTCTAATGAGAAGTCATTAATCATATTCTTTTTCCCCTGGACATGATTTGTCATTTTTCTCTTGCTGCTTTCATGACTTTTCTCCTTATCTTTCAACAATTTGACTATGATGTGTCTAAGTGTGGATCTTTTGGGTTTTATTCTAGTTGGCATTGGCTGAGCTTCTTGGATCCATAAGTTACTGTTTTCCATCAAATTGGGACATTTTCGGCCATTATTCCTTCAAATGTTTTCTCATCACCCTTTGTCTCTCTCCTTTTTTTCTAATTCCCATGAGAAGTATGTTGGTTCCCTTGACATCCCATAAATTTCTCAGGCTCTGTCCACTTTCCTCCTGTCTTTTTCTCTCTGTGTCCTTCCAACTGGATGATTTCTATTGATCTATCTTCCAGTTCTCTGATTTGATCTTTTGCTCTTTTAAATCTACTGTTGTGCTTACTATACTGAGTTTTAAAATTTCAGTTAATTATACTTTTCAAATCTGCACTTTTTATTTTTAAGTAGTTTTTCTTTCTGTATTGAAAGTTTCTATATGTTGTTCATTACTGTCATGTTTTCCTTTAGGTATTTAACATAGTTTTCTTTTAATTATTTTCATATATTTATAATAGCTATTTTAAAGTCTTTAAAGCCTTTGTCTGCTAAATTCTACACCTGGGCCCATTCAGGGACATTTTTTATTGACTGCTTTTTTTCCTCATTGTGGATCACACAAGTTTTGGTCAAAAATGTGTTTTTTAAAATAACATGTGATAGTAGCTCTGAATTTTGACTATTTTTTTCCCTGAGGGTTGGTTTTGTTTATTTTTTTATTAATAACTTCCTTTGTCTTAATCTATGGAATCTATATCCCTCATGATATGTGACTGCTGATTTCTCTGCTTAGTTTTTTTTCTTATTCTAATTTTTATTTTGTAACCTGGTTTCCTAGAGATTGTCCTGTGTCTCTGTAGCTTAATTGTTATTTAATGATTGATCAGAGGTTGCACTCAAACACTGGGCCCAGCCAGTGCTTATGGAACTGTGTGGGAATTGAGGAGCACGTGCAATATTTAGGCAGTTTGGAAGTCTGTACCAGCTTTAACTTTCCACTGGGCCCTCTTTCATCTCCTTTGTGCGCATCATTACCTCTCAGTCAGATTGTATACAGTAAGGTGGGCAGACTGGGTAGCCTGGTGAATGTACATAGCCTCTGTCTGCCTGTCTCATCTTAATTTACCCTGTTATGTTTCTTGCTCTACCACCAATGTGCTGCTTAGCCCTACCAGGGCCATAGCCTTAGACTTGTAGAGCTGGGCACTTTCCTTATTAATTTCTTTCAGTTTGCATTCTTCGTTGACAGTATCACTAATGGGTTTTTTGGCCTCCACTCCAAATCAAATCAGCCCCTTCTCATGTCAGCCCCTTCTCATGTCAGCCCCTTCCAGAAGTGAAGCTGCTAGTTTTCATGACCAGCCCTACCCTGGTAGAAGTACTGTCCTGACTGAGCTCTAAAGGAGTGGGAGCAGCCCCAGGCAAGAACATCTCTGACTCCCACTGTTTTTAAGCAGAGTTCAGTGGTTCCTCACAAATAAATGTTTCTCAATTTGTTGTTTATGACTGCTCAATTTCCAGAGCCATGAAATCATTGTTTTTGATAATTCTGTCCAGCTTCATAGTTGTTTCTTGGGGAGATTTCCTGACTTACTTCCACATCACCAAGTCCTGCTTCACATGGCAACTGTTAAAATGGCAAGTTCACATGCTGAAGTTCTACTTATCAAGGAACCATTCTATAGATTCTTTGTACCATTTTGGTACAAATTTTGGATCTCTGGTAATCAGAACAATCTGTTCGCCATGCTACCTAGTCAGTCTACCTTGCTATACAATCTGTCATCTGAGTCCTATTTGATATGAGGAATTTTACATTTCTGCAATAATTGCCAGTAACTTTTTTGTGTAGTATTTTCTTTTGAATACCACATGGATGGCATCTGACACTGTTTGTAATGCTGAATTTAATGGAAGTTTACAAATAAGTTATTCTATGATTCTCCTTTAAAAATGCAGATACACATATATGTATATAGTATTATATCCTGTCTCTTCCGTAACACAGAATGTTTAAATGGTTAACATTTGTGCTGCAGTATAGCTTTCTGGCTCATGAAAAATGAAAGCTATCAGCGATCTGGGCAATAAGATTCATCGCCAATAGTCACTAGCAACAGCACACAGCATTTTAATATCAGCGAGGTCCACAGCTAGCAGTAAGAGCTGGTGTAATTGAAAGACGTTTAGGTGCAATCATTCTGCTGTTTGCTCCTTGCCAGGTTCAACATGGGATTGTGTGAGTATTTGAAGAAAACAGTAATTTTTTCATATCTTTGAAAGATGTAAAAAGCGTAGATTAGTGCTTAAATTTAAGGAATATGGTAATTTAAAATCATGTGGCTCTAAAATAAAAAGGTATTTTATTTGTCTGGTTGATTAAAGCTTTAGAAAAGCTACGCCTTGGATACAAGTGAACTGATAATTCTGGTCTAATGTTGCCGTGGTAACAACTCATGCTGATATAATTGAGAACATCTTATACATCCTGGTTCGAACATTTTCTCCCTGCCATTTTGAGTTGTTCTAGTGGTATATGAAGGAGGCTGGGATAACTAGCTTGAAAGAAATTCAATCTAGTTATAGACATCTTTGGCATTAATCTGATGTTTACTAGTGATATCTCATGCTAGGCAGTTATGCTTTGTTTCTAGGGGCTTCTCTTTTTAAAACAAAAGAAAGCTCTTTTCGTTTTCTGTGTGCTGCGTGCTCCAGTGTGTGTGTTTACACCATCGGTTCTTCTCCCTCTAGAGATTAGCATAACTCCCTTTGCTGTTGGATTGTTGTTTTGAGCAATATGTTTTGGAAAGGTTGCTTTTCATCATGAGTGGTAAGTATGCTCTCTGAGACTCTGCAGCTGTTTATTTTAAAAAATATATTTATAAGAGGAAAAAATATTTTTGAAGGGACAGCTATGAAGCCAGAGCTACTGTGAATTATATTTTGCGGTGATGCTTTTGTACTTAGGCATTTTAGTAAATTGCCTTCAAAAACCAGTAAGAACTGTAAACAATTAATGTCACTATTAATAATCAATACCAATAACCAGTTTCTGATTTTCTTTATGGTTCGATTTATTGTATTTGTTGGGCACTGTTATTAATTGTGTTATAAATTAGTAAATAGACTAACCATAAGAGAGGATTTTCTATTAGTATCTGATCCTGAAGATAATTAGTTTAACTCTCCTTTGATTAGCTTTGTCATCCTAATGCTAATTTTTGTTAGATTGTTTTTATTAGATTTTAAAAATAGTAATCTTGAAAATAAGATGCTGCCAAAATTTTGTTGATGTCTTGGTTGTTTTTACCTAAAATTTATTGAGAAATAAGGATTTAATGATGAAATAATTAGAGTATTTGGTTTTGTAGGTTTTGTTAAAATGTTTAATAAACAGTTTTTTGGGGAAATAGTTTTTTAGAATAAGTACACTTGTGACAACTAGTCTCTTTTTTATTGTAATGTGATTTATTTTTTCTAAATATTTCCAAAACTGTTTTTTTGAGAAAATATACTACAGTATGTACTGCAGTTTATCACAGGGTAAAAGCTGTCACTTCAAGCCAAACCTGCAGCTAAAAATAGATATCCTGTTGTTAGAGTGAAAAATATTTGCTTAGAGCATAATTCATTAGCATCTTTTGCTTAACTAAAGAATAAGATGCTTGGAAGTTAACATTTGATTCAGATATTTTTAGAAGTAGAATATGGTTTCTCTGATAACATAACAGTCTTATAATTTGCATTTAAAAGATTTGGAATTGGAATTTAGAAACTGAAAGGTGGATTTTTGCTGTATAATGATAGAATTCAAAATTGATGAACCTTTTCTTTCATAACTGGAGATCACCTCATTATAACCAATAATTCTTTATCCTGCTGCAGTACAATATAGCTTAAACATTGTTATATATTTGTTTATAGAATAATACTAGGTATTAAAGGGACATTTTAACATGCAAAATGTTAAGAATTAACTGGATTGTTGTTTTCCTGTTACTGAAATAGATCTTTCTGATCTGCTTTTCTAAATTTGAACTAATATTACAAAATCAACATAGCATTCCTTAGGATTTCTATGGATATCAAACTGAATATACCTGGTTATCATACATATTTTTATTTGAATCAGGCCAATGTATCAATGTATATTTTCTCTTTGAAAATTTGGCATATAATCTAGAATCTTTAGGTAACCACTGTGGTATTCTGGTGGTTTTACAACAGGATGGATTGGATTTAGCTGAAGAAAAATGTTGTTGCTTCACTATTGCTTTATTTTTCTTTAAAAAGCTATGCATTATAGATAGTATTTGATATATTTGATTATACTGGCCTTCTCTTCTAGCCATTTTATACCACGGTAATCATAGTAATCACAGCTAGGCATTCTGACTTTGTCGAGATTGCCCAATTTCAACTGATTTTAATCATGTCATAAATGGTTAAATGCCCTAGCCATTTCAAAATGTGAAAAATAAAAAGTGAAGTGTGGTTTTATTTGTAAAAATAAGCAAGTGCTACGCCTTTTAATCTAAGTCTATAACTACACATGTGGTATTTTTGTGTACGTGGTACTTTTCTCGTTATAAGACTATTCCTTTTATCCTTTGCCAATTAAATGTTGGTTTTCTCTGAGAATCCATCTTTGGCCTTCTTTTGATGCTACATTCTCTCCAAAAAATCTCATCCATGCCTACGTTTCAATCATTACCTGAACATTCAGTTCAAAAGTGGATTTTCTTTTATCATCCCTAAATCTGTTCCATTTTCATTGACTCTGATATCTGTTAATGATCTCACTGCCCATGCAGGAAGTGAAAACAGAAACCTTGGTCATTTCTAGCTTGTTTCCTACCCTCAGACATGAACTCAGTCATTAAGTTCTATTGATTCTACATCAGAAATCACTCAATATTCTCCAGTCTTACTGACTCTGGGAAGGCTTCTAGATCTCTTCTCAATCCTATTACAATAACTGCATCACTGGTCTCCCAGCTTCCAGTTTTATATCTTCCAGGCCATTTTCCACACTGAAAGTTTTAAAATGCAAATATGCCCATTTTTTAACCTAACGTGAAAACTTTCAATTATTCCCTATTGCCTTTAAAATAAAAGTTAAACTCCTTATTAGGTCATATGCAATCAATGACTTACCTTTCTGGTTTTATTTGCAAAATCTCTCTCGCAAGTTTTGATCTAGCCATACTACATTACATATAATTCCTTGCTACCTTTCCATATTTATAGTCTTTATCATAAAAATTCAGAGAACCGGTTAGTATCTCCGACACTGACCCTGTAGAATTAGGTGATTTCTCTGTACTCCCAAAGCACACTTACAAACTATAACAATTATTGTATTATATTGAAATTATAAATTTGCGTGTCACTTTCTAATCTCTAAATGTTGAACTCTAGTCAACGATAGTGCCTTATTCATTGTATGTTTCTAGTAGTCACCCCAGTACCCCAAACACAGCAAGGAACCCAATAAATACTTATAGAATTAATGATAAACTAAATATAATTCATTTTTACGTACTTGAACACTTTCCTTACATTGCCAATGAAAAATATCAGTGTGGGTTTTGATTTTTTTGGTTCAAAAAATACAGTAACCATAGTATTTACTTGTTCCTTCATCAACTTTGTAGGATGAAGTCATATAAAATGCTTAAGAAACCAAGTTGTACCAGTCAGTACCTTTATCTTTCTAGTATTTAAAAAAAATTGGTCATAAGTGTGAAAAGAGCCTTCACTTTCTAAATGTTTTTCTTAGACCCTTTTTGTGAAGTTTTTGCTCTTGTTAAGCAAACAAGGTCTATAAAGAAATACTAAAGGAACCTCTCTAGAAATCAGTCAAACTATTGTAAGGCCCTTTTGTTTAGAGGATGTAGCAACTTACTCAAATAAGCTTAAGCAGAAGAAGGTACTGGTATTGGGATACAGAGTATGTCATGGAGCTCAAAGGCAAAAGTAGAGTTGAGCTGTCCCAAAGAGGAGAATTGATTTGGAAAGCTGATTAGAATCATAATAGTACCTTTCTCAGTTATTCTCTCTGAGATCACATGATGTCTTTACTTTTTTCCTTGTATTTGCTTTATTATCCTTACTGTGTAGTGAATAGGTTTCTCTGATGCTTGTGCAAAGTGGAGCTTAGTCATCTGAAAGTTTCAAAGTTTACGTGCTTTCCTAGTTTATGTGCTTATTGATATAACTAGCATCATTATACCAAAATCCTGGGTGAGAACCCTGGCCGAGCTGTAGTTGAGGGCAAATCTCTGAAAAAGAAGGCATGAATCTGCTATGAATTACAACACCATACAGACTTGAATACCACCAACACTTCATTAATTTCCCTTTCTGGATTCTGACTGAAAATCCTATAAGAAAAAGAAAATTGGGAAAGCAGTACATCATTTCTGAAATTAAAGATGGTTATTTGCCCAAATATGTACAAGATTTTGATGATCAGACTCCAAAGTCTAATTAACAGTTTTAATTTGAGTAGCTTTTCTTCATGGAAAAGAAGTAAACAATAGTTTCACCCTCACTAACTTGGAGGGATGAGGAAAATAAGTGGAAGATCCAATACTGCTCATTACTTTCATTCTAAAACAGCTATAGTGGGACAACCAAGAATGTATTAGGCCATTTCAAGTTGAAAAGTGGACTCTCTTTAAATATAGAAGGCTCTTTCCTAACGTAGAAGGCATCACTACCAGCAAGGAATCCTATAGTCCTGGCCACATTCCCATTTATGAAGGTCACTGGATTACTTAACTGATTATGTAAATATGTGTACACTAAATGATGTGAAGAGTTTAGTCTAACAGCACCTAAATAGGAAGTGAGAAGGGCCAAAGAAAAAACACTTACCTTATTTGGGGCATTTGTAAAGTTTTGAAAAGCTTATAATTGTTCATGAATGAATAAACAAGAAAAGCAACAATGCAGAACCTATAAAAGAGGTTATACACCATAAAACGATAAAGTCACAGTCTTCAAGAGGTAAAGAATGAACTTATATTTAGAAAATATTTGTGCAGGAGAGTATAACACAAAAAGTTATAGATTCCATCTGTGTTAATTCTTAAAATTTTAAGTGAGCATGGAGTTAGTGAACTAAGACATGAAACAAAGATAAAACAAGAACCTAGAATGAAAAGATTACTGGCTGAGAGGCAGGAATGGAAAAGAAGCATAATGATGTGATAGGGAGAAGTTATAAGAAAATAAACCTGGCATTTTCAGAATATAAAGCTGCATTAGAGGCAGTAAAAAGCAGAATAATCACTGCAGAAAAGTAAATTAATAATGTGAAGATCTATCCAGATAGACCCTAATAGAATGTAGAGGAAATGGACAAGATAAAAATTATAAGATGAAAAGTATGTTAAATAAAAGCAGGACAAAAAATTTAAAAAGAAAATAAAAAGACATTTTACAAATTGAATGGATAGCATTCCAACAGAACAGATATAATTTATAGAACAGAAGCAATAATAAAAAATATGATTCAGGAAAACTTGTTAGTTGAAGAAAAACTTCAATCTGTAAATTGAAAGACCTCATTTTGCTTTGACAAGATTAACAAAGATGCCAGTACCTAAATATATCCTGGTGAGTATTTGGAATTTCCAGCATAAAAAAAATGAAGTCCATAAACATTCTGGTGTCTTTTTATCTTACAATCTGAACATGAAGCTTGTCCTATAAAGAAAAAAATCCAAAATTGGAGACTAGATAACTTAAAAATCTTTTCAGGCAGAAATTATTGAAGATCAAGAGCACCTTGAAATGCTGAATAAACTGTAACAAGTGCCCTTTTAAATGAATACCTGAATTTACTCTTTAAATGAATTCTAATTTAATTAGAATTAAAATAAATTCCCAAAGTGCAAAAATTGAAGTGGTAAATGAAAACCGGAGCTGTAAGGGGGAGCATACTTCAACTGCCCTGAGGACATTTTTAGACTTGGTGGGGCTTTCGTTTAAAATGGCCTCACAGAGATGGAAGACAGGTTGTTTAATGTATGCAGTTTAGGATTTCTTAGCACCCTTTATAAAGCTAGGATCCTGCAAGGATCATAACCTCAGTGAAAGCTTAGATTAGAAAGTAAAACCTCTCCACTGACAAAAGGAGAAAATAAGGAAACTTGTGTTTCTTGGCTTGGGTTCCTGGGAGCAGGGGAGGGATGTGTGTGCATGTGTAGGATGCCTCTCCTGAGAATTTTTAATCAACTGCCTCCTCTCAAGCACGTTTCAGTTTTTAATCTGTATTAATTGTGTGGTCTAGGAACCACCAATAAAATACATTACCAGAAGAGTTGCAGGCTTGTAACATATACTCTGTACCAGGCAGAAGCTAATACAAAACCCTTTACTGGGACACATCCTCAGACCAAGACCTGCAGGTTTCTCGCAGATAAAGCCCCACTGAACTTTGTGTTCACAATCCAGAAACAAAAATAGACACACACACACACACACTTACACACATACTGCAAATGATATTTAGATACAACAGGATTAGAACCTGCTAATAATGTCAGTAGACATAGTAAAATTATCACATATCTCTACTATATTAAATTAGTGACATAAAAATAAATATGAGGGAAAAAATGTATATAATTCTAACAGAGCCTTAAAATATACAAAACAAAATTGATCTATGTAGGAGAAATTTTATAGATATAGATAGAGAATTCTTACCCAGTAATTCAAGAATACACAGGAATATGTAGAACACTTACAAAATTAATCATATGACTAAACGTATTCAACAAGTTTCAAATAATTGATATACAGGCTACAGTATATCAATTCTTAATTACTTAATTACCACAAGGTAATTAAGTTCAATCAGTAATAAAAAACTTTAAAAAAATCACACAAATATATACTTTTGGAGATTTAAAAATTTTAAATAACTTACCAAAGAATTAACTGGTAAATTTAAGGTGTAACTATGTATCAGAACTTGTGGGGTGCAGCCAAAGTGGATATAGAATTAAATTTTAAGTGCTTAAATTAGGAAAAAGAAAGACATTCATGATATAAGAAAACAAGTTTAAAAAGCCACATGGTTAATCAAAACAAGAAAGAAACTAATAAAGACATGAGCAAAGATCAGTGGGTAGAATAGAAAATAAAGATACATGAGAATCAAAGATTAGTTTATGGAAAAATATTTTAAAGGACTAATTAGAACTATACCTATTTTAAAAATTGAATCACAGAAACTTTATTCAGAACTTAACAAAATTAGGACTGGAGAGTTTTACATACAAGTTTTAGGAAACATTCAAAGAACAAAAATTTCAATCGTGTATGAAATTTTCCAGTGCATTGAAAAAGAGAAAACACTCTTAAATTCGTTTATGGATTGTAGGATAGTTTTACAAGTCAAGTATAGGAAAAGAAAATTAGTTAGATACATTTTCTCTGAAGTTGGGAATAGGAAAAGGATGCCCACTGCCATTTTTTCTGTACATCATTGCACTGTTAGTCATAACCCGAGCAGTAAAACAAGAAAAACATGGACAGAGCCAAATTGTCATTATTCACAAATGATTTGTGATTGATTACATAGAAGACTCCAGTGAATCTACCAATGTGATTTCAGAATTGATAAGAGTCTGGCAAGATTGCCAGACATAAAAAACAAAATCAATATATAAACATCAGCTATGTTCTATACATCAGCAACAAACAAAAAAGGTAATTTTAAAAAATCTACCTTTTACAATAGCAACCAGAGTGCTAAATAACCTAGGTATAAATCTAATAAAAGTGTAGTAAGACCTTTAAGGGAAAAAGTATAGAATTCTACCAAGGGATATTTACCTAATCTTTAACAATAAGATATGATTTTTTATACTCATTAGATTAGCAAAAACTGGAAAGTCCAACATTAACAAATTTTGTTGTGGATATAGGGCAGCAAGGATATGGTGGAACAATAAATTGATGCTACCATTTATTGAGCCATTTGTTACTGCCAAAGTTGATACTGTGCATTCCTTATCATCTAGGAATCCATTCTTAACTCTATATTGTCGGGTAACAAGACAAAATATTTGAATTCAGGCCTTTCTGGAAAATCCTTGACATATGATTGTAGTAGATATAATACTCCTACAGGAAAAAGCTTTATTGAACAATTAAGGAAGTAAAATATACTTCAAGGAGCATTTCAGAGGTTGCCTGGGTCATTAGTTTTATGACTATAAATTTACTTTGAGTTTTCATTACAAAATTATATAGGAAACATCACTAGTCAAACATGGCATGGATGGCCTACAAAATCCACAACATCCCCAGATGGAGAGCTGTTGGGAGAGAAAGCATGTACATATGATTAGTTGTGAATGAATACATTGTGTGAAATCATAGTGTATCCATCTATCCATGTAGATGTGAGTCAAATAAGTTAATGTATTTCTATTAGAATGATTATTTAAATATATGTCTCATTAAAAGTTAATATTTTTCCATATAAAACTATAATAAAAATTTTTATTTTTCACAGTTTAGTGAGTCAATTATGCTGTTCCCTTGTACTAAGACTTGATGAAAAATTAACAAGTAATAAAACACAGAGAGGGAAGAAGAGTAAAATAAATATTGTAATAGGAAGTGTAACTTTCATTGCCTATTAAACTTGCAAATAATCATATATATGTGACTTTAGTCTTTATAGAAAGGCTAATTAATCATCTTAGAAATCAAAAGTAGGCATAGTCCAATCCAATAAACTGTACAATTACAACTGAAGTATTAAAGTTGTTTTTTATACCTACTATCATTTTTAAGGTTATAGTGAATTTAGTTTGAATCAGTATGTTTAATATGATGAGGCAAGTAAAGTGCCCCTTCAGCAAAGTGAACACAATTATTCTTCAGTTTCAAAGGATAGAAGATGATAATGTATTAGCACATCTCCAGAGAAAAGTTTTGGTTGGTTTTAAAAAAAGGATATCCAAAGAATTTCTTGTAATCCTTATATAAAACATTTGGTATGTATATTCAATTGTTATATCATTCTATTTCTATGTGCAGTACAGTAGCAAACATGTATAGATGGGTAATTTCTTGTAGGTATGTTATTTTATATGTTATTTAATCTCTGTTTATTCTTTTTGATCAAGCACGCAAATCATCAGATGCATCTGGTAGGAAAACCTTTTTTTACAGAATAATTCTGTTACTTTGATTATTATAAGCTAAATTTTTATGAGATATTTTGTGGCAATTAGAATATTTTGTGCGAGTTTTTATGGTTATGTTTACTGAAAATATTTTTAGTGTGTATGTATGTGGGGAGGGGGAGAGTATTTTTAGAAATACCAAATAGAGCTCTAAAGAGGTAGATGTTTGAATAGGGGTGGAAGAAGACAGACTAATGCATTCCCCTAGATTTACACTTTCCAGAGATTTTGGCAAGATTTTGGAAGAAATTGTTCTCTTCTGTTATTTAATGATAGAACTTGGTATTTGCATAGGTAACTTACCTTAGTTTCCATCCTGTTTTGTTCTTTCTGGCATACACTAAATAATTATTAAATAGAATAATGCTTTTATTATGGTAAAGGAGAGAGATGAAAATAATGACAAAGACAGTAGAAGGAACATGAATTATTATCTTCTCAGTAACACATGTTTAAACTGTTATTACAAAAATGACACTATTAAAAACACATTATTGTTTGTGGTTCCTAATATTTTATCTTTCTCTAATAGAAAATTTTCAATAGCCCTGTTCCTTATTCCCTACAAAAATAGCCATCAAGGTCTAACATACTGAGACCTCTAATTCTCATCATCCCTCATTATTTTATCTGATTCCCCTCTTCCTTAGCAAAAGATCCTGCCTTCTATTTCCAGGGAGAAATAGAATCTAGCAACTGTGAACTAACTCGGTTTACTCCTGTTTTTACCCATGCATTGAAAAGCACATCACTATGCCAAAAAATATCTCCCTGATTCGGCACCTGCTTGCCTGTGCACTTCATCTCCCACTGATGTTTTACACGTACCCAATGCTACAGTTATTACAAGTCAGTTGCTGTTTCCTGGATAAACCATGCTCTTCTTCCATGCCATTTATATAAGATCACCTCAGCCTAGGAGGTCTTTTTCACCAACTTTATCTGCCAGAGGAGTTCTTTATCTTTCAAGATTCAGCACAAATGCTGTGTCATCTATTATGCCTTACCTTACTGTCCAAGAATTTCCCCCTCCCAGCTCTCACAGCACCTTATAATTGCCTTTGTTGTAGTCTTTGTCCCATTCCATTATGATGATTCATGTAAGCTTCTCATTTCCTTAACGGTGGAAATATGTTTATTCTTTGTAATATTCAGAGTCTAGCTCAGAATCTGACACCACTAAATGGTGCTCAATAAATATTTTGAAAGGATTGTTAAACCAGCACTGAGGAAGTAGAATGACTGAAAAATACTAAAGTCTTTCAAAAGGAAGAAACCAGGTGTTATAATGCATAATGTCTTTCCTACAGTATATTTTGACTGAATAACAGAACTCCAGAGATGGTATTGCAATAGTTACAGGATATGTATGTCAATACTTGCTTTTTAATATTGTTGTTATGAGGACTATTGTTGTGAGAACTTAAAGTTTTTGTTAGTTGTTTTAAGGAAAATAAGAAGGTTATTGATTTTGGCACTAAACAGTAGTTACTGATTTTTATTTCTTTACTCTTTAATTTTAAGATAACTTATTTGAATACAGATAATCAAATAATTGTATTTCTACATTAACATTTTATTTCTGTATATGGTATTCTGAAAAAAAGCGTATTGGTGACTTCATGCTAATATGTTATTCATATAATTTAATCATTGTCTGATTTATTTTTTGGACACAAGCTTGCTCCTCTTCAGAAATATCTGGTAGGCAATTACTTTTTAATAAAACAAATATTACCTTTAAAATTTTTTATTTATTGTTTGCAAGTTTTTATTTTCCTTATAAAGTATACATTTTAAGTATATCAAGTTAATAAAATATTTTCATTGATGAAGGAAATAGTTTGTTTAGTTTTGTTGGGTTTTATCTATATACATGATTTATATTGCAATTTCTTGTGTGATTATTTTAGAAAGAATAATTATAGCACCATGAAACAGTAAAAGATGTACAAGGTAGTAGAAGAAAGATTAATAAAGAGTAATAAAGTAAAAGAAAGATAAATAATAGAAGAAAGATTTATAAACTCTTAATACAAAATATGAATGATACGCAAGAATTGGATAATGGTATACTATGACTAATAACATACTCTTTTTATGATATGCAGTAACCTAGTTTATCTTACACAACAGCCAAAAAAACTAATAAATACATTTGTTAAATGTTAATAGTGAAACATTCTTATAGTAGAATTATCTGAATTATATGGGATGAAGTTATGCTGTGCGTGAATTTTCAGTCAGTTTTCCTAATGTTTAAAATAAACTTTAAAATCTGATTTTTAAACTGTATTCTATGTCTAAATACATTCACAAATTTGAGGGGGGATAAGAACTAAGTTGTGTTTTTATGAACTTGTGAAAATGCATAAATATTGTCTCTCTTTTTTTTTCATCTCTTGAATGTGGGTGAATGTTCCTGCAAACAAATCTTGGGTGAACATATAGATTCCTTTGGTATGCTCATTTCCTTTAGAATGCAATGTGATAGACTCTTTAAATCATACAAACAGAAAAGATACATAATTGAAAATGTATACTTTTGGGAATAAATTTTTTGTGTGTCCTCTTTTTTGTAACATCTAGTTTGTTCAATTATTTACCAATAGAGAATAAAATGTATTTCAGAAAAATCATTCTTCAAAGTATTTTTTTCTTAAGAAGAGTTACTAATCACTGTTAGATGCTTTGGAGATAGGTACCTATGATCACACAGTTAGGAAGTATTAGAGTGAATATTCTAACTCAGATGTGCCAAGCTCCAAAACCATCATAATAGTTTAAATGGTTAAATGTAGATATGGCTTATGTATTAGAACACAATAAGTAAACTAAAAAATTGAGAACTTCAAATATATACTTGATAGGGAATTCTGGGTTGAATGTAGAGCAGTATTTGAATCTGGCTGTCTCTCTCACATCTTATTTTATTAATTAGCTGCCAACACTTTATTTCAGTGGATAGAAATTATTTAAATTACCAGAGAAAAGAAAAGCATTTAGAAGCTACATCCACCAATATCTAAACGTAATAAAATTCAAAGCAAATACATGTGATTTTAGATTGCTTATTGTTTTAGGGTTACACATAATCCAATATATTGTGAAATATTTTATTTTTGGTAGATTTGTTATTAAAAGATGTGTATTTTGATTAACTTATATTTTTACAAAGATTAACTATGTTCATCTTTGCACCTACATAGTACACATAAAAACTAGAGATTTCATATGTGTAAATATTGTTATACGAGAAAAAATGTTTCAGGAACAGGTTTTCCTCATGGGACTATTTAAGAACATCATACTTAGTGCCCATCCTTTAATGTACTCAAAAAGACAATCCCTTTATATGTTGAAGTAATTCACAAAATGTAATATATTTAATTAATGCTCATTTCTGATAATTTTCACATAAGACCTTTATAAAAACGTTTACTTACTCTCTACAGTATTATTTGACAGTAAACTCAGGAACATTGATGAATACAGAGAATATTTTAAAGAATTTATTGCATATTCTATTAGTGAATAAAACTAAATAATACCTGAAATTTTTCTTTTAGCTTATCACCAGGCAGGGAAAAGAAATTTTTTTCAACTTACCATCTTTGACAAATACTGTCAGTCCTTCCTTTGATCAGTTACTTTTTTCTTAACTCCAGATCCACTTAGCATAAAGTGACAGGAGAAACTGAAACAGGATGTTAAGTTTGTTTTTTTTTTACCTTCCCTGACTCTTTTCTTTGTCTCTAAATTATTTATACTCATGTAGGCATCTGGAGAGTTTATATTGCAACTTGATGTGCAAGTTCTATAAATAAAAGATAACTAAAAATATTTTTCAGAAGAAACAAGAGGTATATTTTGGGAATCACAAATTGTTTTTTCTTAAATGCCACAGTGCATGTTGCAATAAATTATGTTTTTAATTTAATTTATAGCCATCATGTCCAAGTGAATGCCATGTGCAGATATGTCTGCTCCATGTGAAAAAAAGAAAATCTTACCTATAAAACTACTCTTTTTCTTTTGTAACTAGCACTTTAATTTTTAGAAGCAAGGATGACTTGAACCATCCTAAATTCCAAGAAAAAATAACAATTTGGCCGGGCACAGTGACTCACACCTGTAATCCTAGCACTTTGGGAGGCTGAGCCAGAAAGTTCACTTGAGCTCAAAAGTTCAGTACAAGCCTGAACAGCACAGTGAGACCCTCATCTCTACAAAAAATAAGAAAATTAGCCAGGCATGGTGATGCACATCTGTAGTCCCAGCTACTCAGGAGGCTGAGGCAGAAGGATTGCTTGAGCCTAGTAGTCTAGGCTCTAGTGGACTGTGATCATGCCACTGTACTCCAGCCTGAGTGACAGAGCAAGATCCAGTCTTTAAAAAAAAAGTAATAAAAAGAAAAGAGAAAAATTTGCCACCCTTAATCCACCCCTCAGGAAGAATTACATTATATTTGGATTATTAGGTGAAATTCTTTGATTCATTGTTTAAGTGCATGAGATTTTCCTACAATGGGAAAGTTCTAGTTTAAAAATTATTTTTCTCAGTTTTTCTAAAATAGGCATTCTGAGAGTATTTTACAGTAAAATACAAAGGATACTTTATAGAAAGTACTAAAATAATGTCTTCAGAGATTCATATTCTAATGTTACTTAAAAACTAATGTCTGCTCTTGGAGCCTGTCATCATCATTTTGAAATCTCAAAACATTTAAAATGCCAGAAGCCTTTTTGGTTAGTAACGGTGTTTTCCCAAAGGTATGACATTGGTATGACATTTATAAAGGAGGAAAAATAAAGTATGTTTTAAAATAGGTACCTGTCTCACTTCAATACTACTGTATCATTGGGAATCTTAAAGAATCTGTGAGCCCTTCACTAGTATAGTCAGGTTTTATTCTTATACCTAAAGATATGAAAAACAATACATTTTGTTAATGCTATTTTATCTCTTTGGAATATTTTTCCTATTTGTTTTTAAACATCTGAAGTTGTTTTCTAAGATAGCTTTTGAAAGTGGGGAAACTTTTAACTGGTTCATCATTTAATTTACAAATTTAAAACTTCAAACCATAGCTCTGTAAAATAATGTGGCTATTTTATACGTACATTATTAATCAATATATAAACATTTGGTTTTGAATTGCTTTACTTTAGTTTACATTTTAAATTGAGTATTCAGACATTTAGTTTATGCTGCAAATTTAGAATAAGATTGTTAAACTGGATTTTTTGTTGTTGATGTTTTGTTCTGTTTTTAAGTCTTTGTTGGTGTCCTTTATGTGCTAGTCTGTGCTTTTATTTTTTCCCTTTGCCATTAGTAAAGAGAATACAAATCTAATACGTAACATAAATCCTTACACCTGAAAACAACTCTTTATCAAAATCAACTATTTTTGAAATTCCACAAATCAGTAGGTTAATGTTCTCCAGATGTTTTAAATTCTTGTATCTAAAGGCTCTATTAATATCACTGATGGCGTTTTTACGTCACTCTTTTGTCCTAAATTAATTTCTGACTTTCTTACATTACTTTCTGCTATGTTTTCAGGAACAGAATTTTTGTTATGACATTTGAAATTATCAAAGTGGTTTCCTTATAGAACAATATTAGAGAATCTTAGAGATTTGAGAAGGTTCTTAGAGATACTAAATAGCTCTTTAATGTATCATCGTGATAAATATACATTTTATCACAATAGATGACATGTCTTTTTTAAGCAAGAAAATATATGCAATATAAATATTCTTATACATATTGTAAATATTCTTACAAGATAAATTTGTTTTTATATGTATATTTTCAGTGAAAGAGTTTCTAGCCAAAGCCAAAGAAGACTTTTTGAAAAAATGGGAGAATCCAACTCAGGTAAGGAATATTTAGATTTTTCTACAATTAAAAACCTTGTGTTAATAAAATCATGATTCTTGCCTAAGAAATGTATTACTTCAGAAATTTTAATTTTCATGTGGTATTAGTAAACAAAAACTTAAAATGGGAATTTTGCCATAGTTATACTTTGATGTATTAATTAATAATCTTAATGTATACCTAAATTACAGAAGGAACTAATTTCCAGTATAATACCTAATTATAAATTTGATACTGATTCCAAGTTGCTATAAAATCTTAATATTTTCAAATATATTAATTTTGAATCATGCCTTTGATAGCATACTTACAATTTTTATTAATTACAAAAACAAGAGTCCTTATGTACAGTTTAAAATTCTCAATCATAGAGAGTTTGGCTATCAACAACATCCCTGGTAGATGGGCATCTTTTTTATCATCATTTTGATGGGGTATGTTCTATATTGTTTAAGTATTTTAGATCTTAACTAGGATCAAAAACTGTATGTAAAAAGCCATCTATACTTTATAAAAATAATATTTTTGGAGTTATAAATAATGAATGAATTTTAATAGTAAATTAAATTTTGTTATACTTCAAGTTCTGGGATGCATATGCAGAACATGCAGGTTTGTTACATAGGTATAAACGTGCCATGGTGGTTGCTGCATCCTTCAACCCATCATCTACATTAGGTATTTCTCCTAGTGCTATCCCTCCCCTAACCCCCCACCCCGCAACAGGCCCCAGTGTGTGATGTTCCCCTCCATATCCATGTGTTCTCATTGTTCAGCTCCCACTTATGAGTAAGAACATAAAGGTCAAAAAAAAAAAAAAAAGAAGTCATTATTTGAAAAAGATATTTGCACACGCATGCTTATAGTAGCACAATTCACAATTGCAAAATTGTGGAACCAACCCAAATGCCCATCAATCAACGAATGGATAAAGAAACTATGATAGAATACTATGTAGCCATAAAAAAGAATGAATTAACACATTTGCAGTGACCTAGATGAGATTGGAGACTATTATTCTAAGTGAAGTAACTCAGGAATGGAAAACCAAACATCATATGTTGTCACTGTTACGTGGGAGCTAAGCCATGAGGACACAAAGGCATAAGAATGATATAATGGACTTTTGGCACTTGGTTCGGGGAGAATGGGAGGGAGGTAAGGGATAAAACACTACAAATATGGTGCAATGTATAATGCTCAAGTGATGGATGCACCAAAATTTCACAAATCATCATTAAAGAACTTACTCATGTAACCAAATACCACCTGTACCCCAATAACTTATGGAAAAACAAAAAATATTATAACCAAAAAAATTAAATTTTGAAGGTCTTTTTTTTCTAGCTCAAAAGTTTTTATTTCAAGTATTTTCTCATTGAAGAATTCTAAGTAAATGTTTCTTAAAGATGCCATTACTACCAAGATTTAGAGTATGACCTATAAGTTAAAACATAGCCACAAAGATTAAACATTGTGATTACAAAGTATTAGACATTGTGTAACATGAAACAATAAGAGAGGTAAGGAAGATAACGTATTTTTATAATACAAATAAAAGCAATGAAAAAAGCATAAAGAGCAGAAACACATATTCTGTTGTCTGTTAATAAAATTTGTTTTCATTATTTGATTGGGACTATGGTGAACATTTTAATACACTTATGTTGATAAAACCTAAACTTAAATATTAATTCAGTCAGAATTAGAAGGGCTTTTTGTGTTGATAAAAAATCTTATAACTACTTTAAATTATTTTAAATTTTAAGCTGCAAAATCAAAGTATGAAAACAAGTTATAAGTGAAACAGAATTGCCTGCTCTCTGTAATGATCCAACAGGAAGCTAAAATGGGTCTCAAAAGGCAAGGTTTGATTTGAAATACAGATAAAATCCAACTACAGTGAACTGTAATACCTATACAGATTCCTTACTGGATAAAGAACCATATCGCATCACATTTTTCTCAAGCTAAACGCTATATACTGGGCCTTCAGAATATTTTTCTGATATTTTCATGGAGTTCTTTGCAATGAAACCTGTTAAACAAAAGGGTTAGCAATTACTACTTGTTGCTGTTTAACACATAATTTGTTCCTAATAATTTTCATTTTGTTGTGGCAGGAACAAATTTAATAGATTGATGCCTCCAATTATTTGCTTCTGTGCTGTAGTCAAAGCCAAACAAAGATGTTTCCTTATAACAAAACATCTATTCAAGAAAAAAAGAGTCTGATTATTGTTCTGGGATGCTGGCTTTTGGTTCTTTGTAGAATGAGGAATTCTTCTTTCCTTATTGTTATTGTTTTAGATAATGCTCTGGTTTTATAACATAAAGAGAGAAAGCCACTAGACTCTCTCATGCTGCTATTATCTTGTTCTATAAGCTTATATAAAGACAGAAATGAAGCAAGACTGATTTCTTCACAGGTAACTTTAGTGAAAGAGCTCTGATCCCTCAGTTTATCTATTCATTACAGTTATTTGCAAGTGCGTTAAGTCTGTATGGCTTCTATGACTCTTTGTCAGTATGCCTCTGGTCAGTTTGTAATTATTAAAATATGAAATTCATTTATCAGAAGTTCAGTACTAAGATTAAAGTCCAATACTAGAAATGCATATTGTAATATAATCTTTAATATTTCAGCTGAGGCTCTTATTTCCTCCTATTACTATTATGCTCTGTTTTCCAATACATTCTGTCCTCAGATATTAAATCCCTTCTTATTCAAAGGGAAAAACAGAATCGATAAACTGGAATCTCAATAGCCTTTTTGTATTGCTTTTAAATGGATAGTTATAAATGGGATTATCCATTATGATTATGTATTATTAAAGCATTTATACTTCCCATAGTGTTTTTATGAGAATTTTAAGTTTTATTTATGTATTTACATATAGAATAATGCCGGACTTGAAGATTTTGAAAGGAAAAAAACCCTTGGAACAGGTTCATTTGGAAGAGTCATGTTGGTAAAACACAAAGCCACTGAACAGTATTATGCCATGAAGATCTTAGATAAGCAGAAGGTGAGTGTATTTGTTGTTATTTACTTTCAGGGTAAACTTTAGTTTTATCAGCCAGACTATTAAACAGATTCAGTATAATGACTTACCATTGACACCTTCAAAGAATTATATTATTAAATTTAATTTTTATTCCTATTTTTTGTAACTATATGATGCATAGTTAATATACATTCAGCCTTTCCATGTCCATGGGTTCCACATCCATGGATTTAACCAATCACAGATTGAAGATATTTGGGAAAAAAATTACATCTATACCTAACATGTACAGACTTTTGTTTCTTGTTATTTTTCCCTAAACAATACAGTGTAACAACCCTTTACATAGAATTTAAAATATATCAGGTATTATAAGTAATCTAGAGATGATTTAAAGTATCTGGAGAGTGTGTATAGGTTTTATGCAAAGCCTCTGTCATTTTATATAAGGGATTTGAGCACCTGGGCATTTTGGTTTCTGCTGTAGGTCCTGGAACCAACCCCCAGGGATACTGATGGACAACTGTAATTTATTGTGACAATTATGGACTAATTTGTTTTCTAACTATTACAGAAGTTAAAATGTGTACAGTAGTGACCCAACCACTTCATGTTACAGATTTTGAAAACCTGAGGCCCAAAGATTTGAAAGAATCTCCAGAGTCAGAAAGTTAGTTAAATAGAAGGCCTAGATTAAAACACAGATTGACTCCTACTCAATTTTTTTGCTCAATATTATCAGTATACTCCTAATTTTATATATTAATATCTGGCTTCTATCTTTAATTACTTTTCTTATTTATGTTTAACTTCTTGACATCTGTGACTGTCCTCACATTGACCATTAGACTCTGGCAAGAAAGTATGCCACCTTCTAATGATTTACACATATAAAAGAAAATTATTTATATGTCTTGCTAAGGTCACCACTTTTAAAATTCAAAATAGAATCACATATGGAATAGAATTACAATCTTCGTGAAGTCAAGATAAATTACTTTCCCCTTCTATTGAATAGAAAATCTAGAGGAAGCCTAAGTCTGAATGACCTAGGATACAAAGATAGTTTTTGTTAAAAAGGTAGTTTTTTTCCCAATATTTGGTGCATCCTCTTCTATAGCGATATAAAATAAATTTTTAGAATTTATACCTATATTTATTTAGATATTATAAAATGAAAATTGTTCATTTTTACTCACTATTTTTCAATTATGGGCTTTCTCTTCATTCTTAATTTTCTTATTCATCTTCTGAAGTATTTAAAGTCAGTATCTAGTTATTGCAGAGATTTGAGCCAGCTTTTACAGAGGACTTTGAGTGATTAGGACATTAGTATTTTCACATTAATTTTTAAATTACTTTAAGTAATTATATAGATATATGTTTATTTAAGTATAATTGACATAACTAATTTTTAAAGTAATTTCTTATGGGTTTGTTTCTTATTCCTACTTAGCTCTCACTTCTTAATTGAAACTGTAGTTGATCTTCCTAAGACCAAGTTTTAAATCCTCTATTAGGTTTTTATTTGAATCCTGTTATGAAAAGTAATGGCAAAAACCACAATTACTTAAGCACCAACCTAATAGTTGGTAATTGTTATTCTCTTCCTTATCCAATTCTAACAATTTTCCTTATCCAAGTTTATTACATTTTTTAAATGATAACTTTTTAATTTTGCTTAAATACATTAAGAAATATTTATCTCTCAATTACAGGTTGTTAAACTGAAGCAAATAGAGCATACTTTGAATGAGAAAAGAATATTACAGGCAGTGAATTTTCCTTTCCTTGTTCGACTGGAGTATGCTTTTAAGGTAAATTTTAGTAATATCTAAATAAGATACTTTCAACCTAATATGCTTTTTTTAAGATGAAACTATAAATAGGATTCTAAACCAGATGATAAACCTAAAAAATATAAATAAAACAAATACCTCTCGAGTTTGTGTAATTAAATCCTATTGTGCTTATAACTTAGGTAACATTTGAAAAGGTTTTGATTCTCCCTGGAGAAATTGTTCAAAGGTGATACATGCAATTCTTCATGAGATGGTATTACAAAAAGAATTACTCCAATTTATCAAAAACCATAGGGATATCTTATTAAACAATTCTTATGCAAATTCATATACCCAACACATTTTCTACTTTTATTAAGCCCTTTTTGCCACTATCTCATCTTCTTTTACTTAGTAATTTGAGTTCTAGTCTTTTCACTTATACAAAGCTGAATAATTTTTGTTCCATTATTTAAGTGTCTGAAAAATTGTATAAGAGTTATTATTTAAATTGGCCACTTTTCAGTTCTTCGGAATGATACTGGCATCTTTCTGCAATATTTAATCATATGAAACATTTTAATCTTTTTTCTCCGTTATTCTTTAAATTAAATTAAGACCTATGTATTTAAAATATTAAAACCATTAATCTTTTATACATAAAGTGTAAATATTCTTACTTTTTCAAATTGTTTTTTAACTTTGTTATTCTTTTGCATATATTATAGCATTATTTCTTTGCCTGAGTGTTTAATTGTTCAAGAACTAGATGTTCTCTGCAAGAAAAGGAAGAGCAAAAGTCCCAGACTAATTTGTGGCAAAAATAACTAGGAGGGGAAAAATATGAGTGTCTCTGTATAGAAAAACTAGAGCATGTTCCATTTATTCTTTATTTCTCAAAGTTATTAATCTGTCAGAAAGATGTTAAATTTTTCTAATTCAACGTGGTATAATATTGAAATAATTTTGACCTAAGTTGAATAATTGTATTTCCTTTTTATTTGTTCACAGGATAATTCTAATTTATACATGGTTATGGAATATGTCCCTGGGGGTGAAATGTTTTCACATCTAAGAAGAATTGGAAGGTTCAGGTAACTAATGCTTTTGTCTTCTTCAAATCTTTATAGGCTTGTGTTGTTTAACCAGATTTTTAAGTTGATGCCAATATCAAAAACTTATTTTGTTTGATTAATATTTTGGCCATTTGAAGCATTAGGTGGAAACAAAGAGGCCACATCATACACAAGTTTTAAAATTCAAATAAAAGGACTTCGAAGCCAATTTAAATGTTATACTGTTGGTAGATATTGTGAGGGTCCACTACTTGAATAGTTTTCAGAAAATGCAAAAATTAATTGAATTTTAAAATATCAACATTTATTAAACAAATATTAATAATACAACTCCAGGACAGAGGATTGTTTTAATGATCCTTAAATATATATATAGAAATATATAGAGAAATAATAATAATGGTATTATGGTAATAAGATTATAAAAGTTTGTTTTTCACAAATTTAATTCTCCTTAAAGTTCTTGCAAAGTTTAGTTTTTAAAATACATACATAATTTAACAGGAGTTTGTACCTCATCAGGTTATGACTAATAAGATCTCACAGTTATTAAAATAGGTTATAGAATCTGATAGTTTTGCCTGTACGTAATAGTTTGTAAGCTTCTACTATTCATTAATAATCACTAATAGAATAAAGCTAAAATAAAAAACAGATACAACTTCATTCAGTGTAGTATGTTGAAGTAAAAAATGTAGAGACAAATCTCTAAATTCAACATTTTATTGAGGAAGCAAGAATTGCAGTTTGAGGCATATACACAGACTAGGTGGTCTTCAATGTGTCTACAAAACAAAGAAAAGGTTGGAGGTTTTATAAAAATAAATTTTATATTTATTTGTTTGGAAACAAAGTTTAGTAGCACTAGTTAAGTTTTGGGGAGCTGGCAAGCTCTGATTGGTGAGTGACAGTGGGGGGTCAAACTCGGCTAAGAATTACAGTAGATTGTCTCAGTAGCTGTTAGAGAAAACTGGTTTCAGGTTACAATGGGCAGTTTCAGCAGCTAGGCTTGTGGAAAATTTAATTCTTTTTTTTTTTTTGTCTTTTTTTTTTTTTTTTGTTTTTTTTTTTTTTTTTTTTTGTCTGAGACAGTCTCCCTCTGTTGCCCAGGCTGGAGTACAGTGGTGCCATTTTGACTTACTGCAAACTTTGCCTCCTGGGTTCCAGTGATTCTCTTGCCACAGTCACCCGAGTAGCTGGAACTAGAGATGCCCGCCACCACATCCGGCTAATTTTCATATTTTTGGTAGAGACAGGGTTTCACCATGTTGGCCAGGCTGGTCTTGAACTCCTGATCTCAAGTGATCCACCCTCCTTGGCCTCCCAAAATGCTGGGATTACAGGTGTGAGCTACCACACCTGGCCTTAATTCTTGGAGCAGGTGCTGTGTGCCCTGAGTGCTTTATTCCCCTGGCCCCTCAACTCTGATTTATTTGGGTATGATGAGAATGACTAATTTGTGTAATCAGCTTTCACATTTTTCCCTTTTGATCAAGATCTTTCTCTGAAAGCATTGCTTATCAACCATCTTGAAGTTAGGCTTAATTATTCCTTGGTTCTGGGATGGACTTGGTCTAGTTGTCTCTGTCACACATATGAGAGAAAGTATTGTGGGGTTCTATGTAGGGACCTGGGCCACATTCAAGTAACCAAGAGGCCAGAAGGAAAATTTTTCTCAAAGTAGATTTTTGTCTGGAGTCCAGCATCGAATTCCTTCTTATCACTTCCATAGGTTTTAGCAATCATCTTTAAGTGTTGGGTTAATGTTATTCTGTTGGGATGGCTGCCTTTACAAAGATTAGATAGGCATTAAGAACAAAGCTTACAAATGATAGTACAAAAAAATTAACAGTATAGTAAAATTTATTTGTGCAGTGCTTTGGAACTAAAGCCCGGGCCTAAGGGCAAAACACTAAACAAATCAAAGGACCAGGGGAAACTGGTAAGATCTACTATAGCCATTGACTAACATTTTATGACTGGGTTGAACTAAAGCAGAGAATGCCAGACTTTGCAAGAGGAACCACCAGCAAAATTAAACAAAAAATTGTGTTAAGGATATTGTCAATGTTGTGGACTAGATGAACTGAAAGAATTTCTTAAGTCAGGTTTTGTCAATGGCTATAGCAGGTCTCACCAGTACCTATAACAGTTACTGATTGTGAATTTTAAATTACAATATTATTTGGTTAAGTGAAAAAGACAAGCATTAAGAGGGGTAAGAGTTTCACTACAATATGGAGTCCTGTTCCAATGTCTTGAGAAAAGCTGTTCACACCATAGAAAACATCAATTTTTTTGGTCTTATTTACAGTTTAAACGTCTCTGGCTATGACTTTGGGCAGTTTGATGAACTTATTTTGTGGCCCATACATCAGGCATGAGACTCGTTTCTTAAAATTTACATAGTTTCAGCTTACAGGGCTTCAGGAACAGAGCGGTTCTCATTTTAACAATTTTATGGAAGAAAGTTCGATTGGAGTAACCTAGAAGAATTGAGGACCTTGTCTAGTCCATAAGTAGATAACAAGACTCAAAAGTAATGTACAGACTTAAAGTCTAATAACAGGCATATTAAGTTATTCTTTAGAAACAACTTTTTTCTCTACATTGATTACATAGGAATCTTGGATTTAAAAACCTCTTGACACAAGGAAGCCGAACCAAGGCAGTCTTAGATTTTACTTACAGTCTTAAGGTTCCTGGTCCTGCCAGGAAGTAACAGTTTTTATTTCCTTATTGTAATGCTGAGAAATCCTTGAAGTCAGGCCTTTTATGCACTTTTAAAATATGACAGTTCAGTTAGAGCCTTAGTAATATAATCAGTGTTTTCCATTGTATTCTGCTATAAAGAGAGAGCAGATTTTTATGGTCTTATGCAAATAGTCATATTCCCATAAAAGTACTTACAACTAATTTTTGAATTAATAAGGAGAAAAAAAAACAAATGCTTTTATCTTTTTTTTTTACAAAAATATACTTTACCAAATTGCTATAAATTATAAATAGCTTAAGAGATAAATTTTTTTAAACCTGGAGACCAAAATATTTAAGAACTAACAATGTTTTAAATGAAAGTTGTGAAAATATTATTTTTTCATCAATTATTTAAGTTCATATAATTTTTGTTCCGCTTGATCTTTATTAGTATTTTCATGTACTTATCTTTTTTTATTAGGGTTCTAGAAATTTTTATTTAGTCTGGTGATCTTAAAGCTATTAAAAGCCTGTATTTAAGAGTACTTGTTGGGGTCTTTTCTATGAATCTAACTGTAAATAATTTTGAGAATTCAAAATAATAACTCTGGATGACAACAGTCTAGAATAGCCATCGGTAAAAATCTGATGAAAGTTTACAGTTAACAAGTAAACTTAGTTATTTCTATTATATCTAGCATTTTAAGGCAATAACCAGAATTATGAATAACATTAATTTCTATGAATTTATATAATTTTTGAAACATTCATATGAACAACATAGCCATAAATGCAACTAAAAGAGCTAGTATCACATCATTTATACAATGTCTCTTATATAATTTAAAAATAAATCTAATTGTTTAATATGTCTGCAAGATGATCTCTATGTCTTCGAATGTTCTCCAAGGGCCCAGCTGGAAAATCCCAAAGCTAATTCTAGATTAAGAACACTTAATTTAGGATTTGATTTTTGGGAAGTTTGTTAAACATATTTAAAGACTCAAAACACTTGGTCAAAACAGAGTAACAGGTCACTGTAAAATAATAGTCATTTATTTAACCAGAGTGATAATCAAAAGACATCAGATATAATACAGAAAGTTATATGAACGTAAAAACTTTTATTATTTTGAAGCTCAGTTTTTCTGAGTAATGAAAAACCTGATAAAGACAACATAGGATATTATCTTGATAAAATATAAAATCTAGTTTTTTAGACAAATTACCAAAATGGTAAAGAAAAATCTTCTGCAGTATGCTCATTTTTTCATATTTCTTTTTCCCATTTAGAGCTTTCCATTAAAGAAATTATCAGTCACCTGAAAGTTGACTGAGTACTTGAATTTAATCAGACACAGGAAGAATGTGTCCAGGGTTAAGAGTGTACATTGTATTATAGAAAAATATGAACAAGAAGAAGACTATCTTGAGCAGGGAAATACATAGTTGTCAGTAACAGCATGAGAAACTTCCTGGTTACATGAAATAATACAAACATATCAAGAAGAGCCAAGAATATAGATTCAAATTATACTGGAAGAAAACATTGCTTTTCTAGGCCTTTCAGATAAACATTTCAGCATCAGGCCATAACAGAGTTCAAACTGGAAAAAAAAAAAAAGTTCTAGGAGTTGAGGAAAAAGGTTGAAGGAGAGAGTTATCACCCCAGCCAAGCAAAAAGATATACCTTTTCAAGAAAAAGAAGGGGATGTATGACCTTCAAATCATGTGTAGTGTGATACAGCAAAAGTCGAACTTCTGAAATATAAATTTCAAAAGGAAAACTTTACCTCAAGAAATGGAATTACTATTTTCAGTGAAGAGGACAGCATTTCAAACCTAAAACTAGGGAAATTAATTAGATCTCAGGAAGAAATGTGGCAGAAATAGAAACTGCACTTGGGAAGATGGCTGTCAAAGAAACAGATTTTATAATTAAAAATCACAACCTTTTGCAGTATTATTGAGAGTAGATGAATACTTCAAGAAAGCTTTGTTGTTTTAAATATAGAGAGCCAGACTCTGGTCTTTGACACCAATCATTAATTTTTAGAAAAACATGTAAACAATTTTCCTTTCCAATTTCTTTCCCTAACGATTTACACATAAAACTTCTTTCATATGGCCCATCCTTTCATTTTTCCAAACCCCCAGTATTAATCTTATAATTTTCCTTTTCTTCTTCCTCTGTTTTTGGAACAGACAATCATTTTACTTTAGGAAAAATATTTACCACCTAATATACTTTTCATACAACATAATTTTTTCTTACATTCATATTTTGCCTACTATACCTCAATATACTTAAACTTTTTATA